TACTGAACAAGAACGCAATTTATCTCTCACTTTCAAACATTTTTGTTTCAGCACAAGTGTAAAATTTACTTCAGAACCTCGGTTTTACATGTTTTATTTGAAATGTTTGAAGTTAACTGAAACACACACACTCAGACAACTTTAAAAAAATTACTGACCTTCGGTTTAGTTTCTTCTCGGAAAATAAAGCGAAATATTTGAATTTCGCCCTCAAGGTCTTTGAAGACAACTGCATGATTTTTATTCTTCGTAGCTTGCTATGAGCAAAGGCCCGCCAATAATCTTCATTACATTGTGTAATGCACAAGAAACTTTTTCAGCATTCTGAAGAGGCTTGCGAAATCCATATGCCTGCTTTGGATAAAGTCTTTTCATGGCGTTTTCGCACATGAAAATTTTTCGAACATTAAGGAGATGTTTTGCAAAAATTTTGATCGATGGTGGACGGCCGCGTCCAAATTTCCCGCCCTCCTTGATGTCATCGTAGCCTCACTTCTATGAAGCCAATAAATGCAAGCTATAACCAGATATGGTTCTTTTGAGATGCACTGTCTTCTTAGCTTTTTCTTCGTGAAAACTAAAAAATGCAGCTATTTTTTCGAGAATCAGGTTAGTATTCTATATTTTTATTGAAAAGAAAGAGGTTTGTTTTTCCCACTTCTCTTTCGACATTTTTGACCGTGAGGTACTGAGGCTCTTTGCCTGCAACTCTCGCGCATGTGCAAGACCATGCGCAATAAGATTTTCATTTCGCGCCAGATTAGAAATTTTCCGCCATTAATGTGAACAATGACGAATGTGGAGATCTCGAAGCATCGTGTCTGACTTGATTGCTTGGATCAATCTCTGCCTTTTCCACGGCCCTTTAAACAGTTCATGTGGTCTTCTGAATAGTGATTATGGCAAAAGTTCACATCATCGATGTGACAATTGGCCAAAATCCGTCTTCGTTCTGCAGTGACTTTGAATTTCAGATTACTTTCGACTGCACTGAGGAACTTAACGAAGGTTTTCACGTTTTATTTGTACTCTGTTTCTTCTATAAATGTCATGATTGAATAGTATTAACTCTCTTCATTTAAATCTATTTTCTTTTGTGTAAATCGTGTAGATCTAGAGTGGAAGCTTATTTATGTTGGATCGGCTGAGAGTGATACTTACGATCAAGTGTTAGACTCTGTGTTAGTTGGACCTGTCCCGATCGGAAGACACACTTTTGTTTTTCAGGTATTTCATGACATTTTTACTATTTTGAGATAATTTAAGCCTTTCCCATGCAAATTCCAACATGAATTCGTACGATTTACCCCTGTAATTAATGCTCCCTGTACATGTACAATTGTCATCGTGTGAACTTCGAGTGATCTACATTCCCCCTATTGTCAACTTCTTATAATTTTGTTTGATGTACTGAAGAATTTTACCGATTTCATTATGTTATTGTTATGACCTTGCAAGCTTGGTGTTGATGATGTGTTTTTGATCGATGAAGAATTAACGTGAGGTCGCCAGAGAGAAATCGTAGTTGTATGTTTCGTTTTGATACTGAATTCATTTGATGAGGACTTCATCCATAAATGACCAACGATTTTACATCAACTTCCAAAACTTAGCATTTTGTCGACTTGATGTCTTTCCATGTACTCCAAGTCTTATGAAGTTGAGAAGTAGAACATTCAGAAAATTTTTCCGAGAGTTGTAGGTTCGTTTCTGTTGGTAGCACTTGGAATTTCTTTTTCTTAGTTTACCTGTCATTTGCTGAACAATTTCATAGTTCAATCACTGAAAATTTTTGAGTGTCTGCGAAGGCACTTACCAGTACCATGCTTTGTGACCTGTTCTCAGAGGGTGAGTAAGTTTGGTTTCTGTCAGAGTTAGTAATCTCTGGACTAGGTAGTTTAGTTCTTCCTAACATCACATACTGTCATTCATTGTGTGGTGCTGAAGCACAGCTTACCACAATTAAGAGATTTCTAGTCAGATGTCATAAGCACAAATACAAATTTACAACCTACCTTCTAGAAAAACAGGATTCTAAAATACCCAATTAGGTAGCAAAGTGAGATTTACATCCTCTTAGAAATTAAATCCCCAAGAAAAGAAAATGATACATAATGATAGAGACATATCTTGTCATTACTCCAAAGTTAATACAAACCATTTTAAAGATTTCAAGATAATTTGTTCAATTTGTTACCTTTTTTCTACTTTGTACTCTTTTACTCCATAGTTCAAGATATGTTTTGTTTTGTTTTGTTTTGTTTTTTTTTTTGAAGAAACAAAAACTAACAGACTATTGCCAAAAGTAAATGTATTTGTGACAGTTCATGTACATAACTTTTGTTTAAACAGTTAACACTTATGTGTCCTGAGACACTTGTTAGATAATTTTAAAACTCCACTTGGACCTTGTAGATTGACTTGGGTTAGACCCTGAAGCATATAAAGGCAATAACTTGATTTCAAGTTCAAAAATTGGTGATTATTTGGTGTTTTACTGTCTTGTATCTTTTGTGGTTGGTGCATTATTTGTAGTGAAATAGGTTTTTACTTTCAAAACATTTCATTTTTGTTTGACTATCACTCAATTTTTCTACATTGATAAATGCTAATGCAACCTCTGGCCACGATAAGGGCATCAATATAATCAGCAAAACACATCACTTTACAAGCCCAGGCTAAAACCAAGGGAATGAGGTGATAATTCCAAGTAGAGCAAATTTCCCAGCAAAAATCTAGTTACTCTGACATTTGAAATAATTTAAAATTCAAGGTGCAATCCAGTTTTTGAGTTACAACCTTTTTGATTTCAAGTCTTCCAGTCTTCAAGGTGTAAACTTATCATGATTGTAGCCCAATACATTGTAGTGAGGGCATGTTCTTAATTTTATAACAATTTTTTCCTTGCTGTGGCTGAACAGAGGATACTTTCAAATTATCACTAATGCTTGTCAATGAATACATGTAGATTGGTTGATGACGTTTCAACTTTGTTAATGAAGTCCTGGGAGACATGTAAAAATGATTTTAGAATTAAGTAAGGCAATTTTTCTTTATTCAGCTTGAAAAGCTCCAGCTCCTTCAGTTTAGAAGTTATTTTAAGATGTTATGGATATCATTTGTTCTAGGTCCTCATCATAAAATATTTTCATTTTTTAAATTTGTCCTGTTCATGCTGCACTAGACTTTGTTTTCACCCATAAAGGGTACTTGTGTCTATCTTTTGATATTACATAAATTTCCTTAAACCTCCAAAACTTCCTTTGTTACACTTTTACAGATGCATCCTTCAACATTTAGAAGTTCAGTCTTTTGCACTTTTTGTTTAGGTGACAGTTAATGTTGAGGGTAAAGATTGTGAATAAGCCTTCTTTGCCCTATTTTGTACTTTAGTTTCATTTGATGCAATTGAGACATGTTTAATGTTTCTTCCCTCTCTTAGGCAAAATATCCAGATCCTAGTCAAATCCCAGATGAAGATTTGGTTGGTGTAACTGTGATCCTTTTAACTTGCTCATACAAAGACAGAGAGTTTGTACGTGTAGGTTACTATGTAAACAATGAGTACATTGAGGAAGAAATGAGAGAGAATCCTCCCACAAGGCCTGTCATAGAAAAGGTATTGTTATGATAAATGGCCAGCCATATGCATTTATGAATTTTAAAACCAGTTAGAGTGTTGTTCATTGATTGTGTGTTGTAAACTACCCTGTATTTTATTTGTTTTCCATTTTTTTGCTTGAGCTGCATGGACAAGATTTTGTTGAGTTCGTAAATGCAGGTGTTTGTTTAAATTTAACTACTTTGGAATACCTATAAACATGTATTTAATTTATCTTCACATTCAAAATTTTCCTTTTTAGTCAATATCATGAACCAGTTAATTTTTTGTTGTGAATTCCTCACCACAGTTAAAAAAAAATTGCATAGTAATCTGCAGGGAGTCCATCATATTTAGTATAAGGCCCTCTATGATTTGATCATTCCATTTTCTTTTAAGTATTAACCCT